GAAATCGTTTGGTCCGACCCTGCCAAGGCACTGGGGGTGAGTTCATTAAATGATTGATCAAATATAGCAGGCTCATTTTTAAGTTGGTAATGTTGTATGGCCTGGGAATGAAGTTATAAATATCCACATGGCCCTTGGCTGGAAAAAGGTTCCCCACCCTGCTTTAAGGTGTAGAGCAGCGGCCAAGTCCTTTGAGAAACCCTGCCTCTCTCTCCCACCTCCACACCCCGGCATCAGTCATTCCTTCCTCTTTGCTCCCGTATACCTTGAAGCCCTCTGATAATTATACTGGCTTTTCCCGAAGGAGAATCTCCCCATCTCCTGGGAGGCTGAGTCTTTGGAGGGCAGAGTCCTGCTCAGACCATGTGTAGGCAGCTGCCTGAGGGCCAGCATGTGCCCACCACTCTGTCCCTCTTGTTTAGGACACCACCTGGCACAGTCCCTATGGAACGAAATTGCAGAATCCCCGTGCCCAGCCTGCTCTGAGCTGTGCTTTCCGTTCTCGCTCTGACGTACTCTCCCCTCTTTGGGTGTTAAACGTATCCCTTCTAATCTGCCTCTGGCTGGGGCACAGGGGCCAGCCTTGTGAGAAGTGTTTGTCAAGTGCGAGAGTAAATAGATGGAGCGCGCCCCAGGAAGTGCTGCTCGGCTCAGGGTGTGCGTTATCCATTTCCACCGCTCGGGTCCCTGGCTCCAGTCCTGAGGCTGGCTCCTCAGTGACCTTTGGACGGGTGCCCACACACGCAGTTTATGGGCTCAGCTGGGCCCGAGGTGCTGCCCACCTGGCCTTCTAGAGGCCCTGGCTAGCTGCCCCACCTGTCCTCCACAGCACGTCTCACCTTCCACCTATTTCCGATGGGACTGGAGGCCCCAAGACCTGGAGGACTTTGCTCAGGATTTGTCCATATCCGCAACCTCAGAAGCATTAGTCCCTCCGGCCAGAAGCAGCCCCTCTGCCTCTGCTCCACCATCTTCCTCTGGAGGCGCTCCTCCTGGCTCCTCCTCACCCCCTTCTCCTCTGCCAACTCCTTACATGTTAAAAATGAAGGCTTGCCCTAGCCAGTTTGGCTCAGTGGATAGAGTGTCGACCTGTGGACCAAAGGGTCCTGGGTTTGATTCCAGTCAAGGGCATATACTTTCGTTACAGGCTCCTCACGGCCTGGGCCCTGGTGCAGGAAGCAACCAATTGATGTGTTTCTCTCACATTGATATTTCTCCCTGTCTTTCCCTCTCTCTAAAATACAATGGGAAAATATCATTGGGTAAAGATTAAAATAATAATAATTACAAAATAAAATGAAGTCTTTATATTTCTTCTTTTTAAATATATTTTTATTGATTTCAGAGAGAAGGAGAGAGAGAGATAGAAACATCAATGATGAGAGACTCATCGATTGGCTGCCTTACCACTGGGGACTGAGCCCGAAACCTGGGCATGTGCCCTTAACTGGAATCAAACCCAGGACCCTTCAGTCTGCAGGCCAAAGCTCTATCCACTGAGCCAAACCAGCCAGGTGGCCCCTCTAGCTAATACCCCTCTTCTCCCTTCTCCACCATGTCTCTCCTCTTTCCCACTCACCCTCTCTCTTCAACTGGCCACGGGGAGGTTTCTACTCACATGGCTCCCCAGTGGGTCTTCCACATCCAGAAATATGGGGCTGATTGGTCCAGGCTGACCTCCAGGCCCCTACAGCGTTCCTTCACTCCATTCCTCCGCCCACTATTCCCGAGTGCCTCTTACGATGGATGGACAGGCAAACCCAACACCCTGGCCCTCAGGTGCTTCCATTCTTCCTCTGTCTTGTGAGGTTTTGTCTCTTAGCTTGAAAGTGCCAGCTCTCCTCCCGCCTAGGATCCTCCTCTTCAATCAGTGAGGCTTGGCCCTCACTTCTCTCTATTCCAATCTCTCTAGAACAGTCTCCTCTCCCGCTATTTGAATACCAATGACCAACCTGTAGCTTTTCTCCAGCTGGTCCCTAAGAAACCGACCCCACGTCCAAGTGCATCTCGTACATCTCTGGTGGTGCCATCCCAAACCTCCATTCCTGCACGGCCCTCAGGCCCTGTCAGCGCCTCCCAAGCCTGAAACCTAGAAACAACTCTGAAACCCTGCCTTCTTGTCCTCACACCTATCTGATGACCAAATCCTGCCCATCCTTCCTACTCAGTGTTTGTTTTTCCACCCCTATTGCAAGAGCAGCCTTCTCACCAGCTTCCCAGTCTCTAGTCTCACATGTTCGGATCCATCCCATTCCCTAGACACCCGGATCATCACCCCAAAATACAAATCTGATTACTTCTGCCCTCCTTCATGGGTCCCCGCTGTCCTCATTCTAAACTCCACATTCCCTAGCTTGCCCTAGCCCATGGTCAGCAAACTGCGGCTCGTGAGCCACATGCAGCTCTTTGACCCCTGGAGTGTGGCTCTTCCACAAAATACCACGGCCTGGGTGAGTCTATTTTGAAGAAGTGGCGTTAGAAGAAGTTTAAGTTTAAAAAATTTGGCTCTCAAAAGAAATGTCAATCGTTGTACTGTTGATATTTGGCTGTGTTGACTAATGAGTTTGCCCACCACTGCCCCAGATGGTAGTGTGCACATGACCATTCTTTGCCCCCTCTCCCCCAAATATGTTATTATTGATTTCAGAGAGGGACAGAAAGAGAGATAGAAACATCACTGATTGGCTGCCTCCTGCATGCCCCCTACTGGGGATCCAGCCCACAACCTGGGCATGTGCCCTGACAGGGAATGGAAGCATGACTTCCTGGTTCATAGGTCAATGCTCAATCACTGAACCACACCCGTCAGGCCCACATGCCCAGTCTGACTGTCCCATGCCACACCGGTGGCTGAATATTTTACAGATGAAAGCTACCCTACCCACAGGCCCTTGGTGGCCAGGCTCTGGCTTAGCTGTGGCCTTCTCAATCTTTTCTCTCCTCCCATTCATCCAAGTCACACACCGGACTTTCTCTCCTCTGGGCATTTTATTCCCCTCTCTGCAGGGTGGAGGGCCCCTGCTCATCCCCACCCTGATGTTTCTGGAAAACACCTCCTGTGTCCTGCTCTGAGAGCCCTAGTTCTGTCAGTAACTCACTATGTCATCAGTCATGACATCACTTCACCCAATAGTTCTCAACTTTGGCTGCACATTAGAATCAGTTGGGGAGCTTTAAAAATTCGATGCCCGGGGGAATGGGGTGGCTGGGGAGAAGTCAATGAGGGAAAAATGAGCCTTATGTAATACTTTAAGCAATAAAGACTTCAGCTGAAACTGGTTTGGCTCAGTGGATAGAGCACAGGCCTGTGGACTGAAAGGTCCCAGGTTCGATTCCAGTCAAAGGCATGTACCTTGGTTGCGGGCACATCCCCAGTGGGGGACCTTAATAGGAGGGACCTTGTTTCTAACTATCCCTCTCTCTTCCTCTCTGTAAAAAAAAAAAAAATCAAAAAAATTTTTTTTAAAGAAAATAAAATAAAATAAAGACTTTAAATTAAAAAGAGGAAAAACAATTCGATGCCCAAACAGAAGCCCAGACCAATGAGCTCAGAATCTGGGAGTGTCCAGGGAATCCCAATGTGGCCTCAACCTCCTTCTATGATGATACAGATTTTCCGTCTGTAAGGATTCCCAAAAAAAGCCCGCTCCGAGGAATACACCTTGGCAAGGGCTGTTCAGAGAACTTAGCGAAGCAGGGCTGGTGGCTGCACCAAACACGCGCCCTCAGTTCCCATCCCAGAGAAGCTGAGAAAAGCTCCTTCATGACTCAGCAGGCCAGGCCTTCCTGTGACCTGCTCCTCAGCACAGGGCGTAGCTCCGACAGCCACCCTCCGCCTGCTGGGAGGAGGCCCAGCTCTGACTCCGACACCACCTTGTCCTTCCCACGGGCCCCCGAGCCTTGGGAGCTAGCCACTCTCACTTTCTAGCCTGAAAGCGAATGTCCACTCTCACTTCGCCCTCCCCAGGGAGGTGCAGCATTTTACACTCACAAGCAGGTCGGTCAGGAAGGGGTCGTGTAAACAAGAACGTGGCTTCTGACACCACCATTGACTAGCTACAGGACCTTGAGGCCATTAGTCATGCCATCCACCCTCATCTGCCCAGGGCCAGTTCTCAGGTTCGCAAAATGGAAATCACCGCCCAACCTCAGGAACATATGCAGGAGGCCTGGTGTGGAGGAGGGAGGGAGGCAGTCCAGTTCCCTTTCCTGACTGCTTTCCTCTTCCCTCCTCCCTGGGGCAAGAGGGCTGGGCTGAGGTGATCACCAGGGTCCCTCCTAGTGAACAAGTGAGGGCAGATCTGGGATGCGTTGTGGGGAGAGGAAGTGAGCACAGGCCTTCAGCCCCTGCGGGTTCCCTAGGGCAAGACGCCATTTGTGTTTTGACTGGCAGAGGGCCTCCAGGGAGAGGAGGCGGCTCAACCTAGAGTGGGAGGCCTTATAAGGAGTGTGCTGTGCGTGGATGGGTGTGAGCACAGGCTCAGGGGCCGTCAGGCCCGGAGGGCTCCCCGGCAGACTGGTGCTGGACACCCGCTCCATCCCTGACGAGCTGCGTGATGCCAGACAGGTGCCTTCTCTCCGGCTACTCTCTCCATCTGCAGGATGGGCATGGTGGATGCTGCCCACCTGCCTTTTAGGGCAGCAGGTGAGCAGCCAGTGAGATAAGCACCACGAGAGCCCTCTCTGGCCCCAGGTACCACTTAAAAGCAGCACCGTTATACCAGGGATTGCTCTGATTATTACAAATGTCTGCGTTGTAGAGGAGGCTGCTCAAGGTCCCTTCTATGAAGACCCCATGTTTCTATAGGTTCCAAGCTTCTAGAATTCTGAAGCCCCAAGAATTTAAGGCCAATGGTAAGAACCTCTGACCTGTTCGGGGCCAGAAAAGAGGCAAATGGTGAGTTGGCATAAATGCCTGACACCTCAGAGGCCGGGTGAGTGTGTGAGAGGGTGTGCAGTGCGAGCTGGTGCTGATAAGCCAAGGAAAGCAGAGCACTCACCTTCTGGGGGGCATTGATAACCCCGGTGTTGTAGCCGAACTGCAGGGAGCCGAGCACTGCCCCTCCCACGGCCAACATAAGCGTGCCGGTCAGCTTCTGCAGAGAAAAAAAACACACACTGTTACAGGCAGCTCTGGGCCGGGTTACTACAGGGCAGAGCCTGGGCGGGCAGGTTCTCTGGCTCAGGTATCTTGCCTGACTCCTGGCGCTCCACCAGCCTTTCTCCCAGGAAACTTGGCCACTTTTTGACTCCAGGTGCCCTAACCAGCCCTCCTGACTTCTAGACACCAGGCTGGCCAGACTCATTCTGGGCGGAGGGGGAACTGGGTCTCCTCTCTCTCTCTGCAGCTAGGTTTCAGCTACAGATGGACAGGCCTTGGCTTCTCTGGGGTGTCATTCTCTGGGTGGAGCCATGCCGGGGTGCAGGTGGCTCCAGACTGTTTGGGGAGATCCAGGAAGCAATGCCCCTAGGAAAGGGGACCAAATTACACGGGAGAAACTACAATACATAGATGGGTGGGGGAGGGGGAGCCTTGGATTTGGACTCAAAAGGGGCTAACTTCTGATTCTAGTCTGCCTGCCTACTTGCTCTGTGAATTCTAGCGCGCTAAGTGTTGATAAGACTTAGCTCCCCCGCTCGTCCCAGACCCTCTGTTTGCTGGTCTGCAAAATGGGAACAGTTTCAGGCTGATCAGCATTGGAAATGTGGTCCCATCCTTCCCTCCCTCCATTCACCGTGGGAAACGGAGCCCCAGGAGGCAGAGGTGAGGGAGAGCAGAGTTTCCAGCTCGCTCAGAGGTCTACAGAGAGCCAGGCTGGAGCTCAGGGTTCCAGGATTCCCCACCTCGTGTCCCTCACGTAGCCATCCTGGACCTTGAACCTCTCAGGGTTATTTGGACACAGATGACATACGGCTCAGGAATGCGCTCCGGAAAAGTACATGACAGGAGGCAAGCAGAAGCATGGGGCCAAGGCTTTTCAACGGGCAAAGGGGAGAAAGGTGGTGGTGGGTTTCTGCCCCCCGGATGCTGGGGCCTGAGAGCAGCAGGCAGGTGGGCCCTGGGTGACGAGGCCCCTTGCTAGAGAGTCCGTGCCTTGTAGCAAGAGCGCCTCTTGTTAAAAGAGGAACTTTTTTTCTTTTAAAACAAAGAAGTCAAGAATGTGACATGCGGTTTGGCTCAGTGGATGGAGCACTGGTCTGTGGACTGAAAGGTCCCAGGTTCGATTCCGATCAAGGGCATGTACCTTGGTTGTGGGCACATCCCCAGTAGGGGGTGTACAGGAGGCAGCTAGTGGATGTTTCTCTCTCATCGATGTTTCTAGCTCTTTATCCCCCTCCCTTCCTCTCTGTAAAAAAAAGCAATAAAATATATATTTTTTAAAAGAAATGTGACATTAGGCAGGCCCTTAACTGGTAGTGAGAGAATGGAGCCAGGGGAGGGACAGCAAAGAACTACCGTGGACATCACACCAGGCTGGGCCCTGAGGAGAGGGCTGGCAGCTCACAGTCCTGAGCCATGCCCTCATGGCTCTCAGCTCAGCCACGCCTTGTGATGGGCCTCAGTTTCCCCACCGAACCCTCACTGACAGCACTGGGCTTAGCTGCTCATCAGACATGTTCCCAGTGTGGTCTTTCCATTCTCTGCTATGAGGCCAACACTGAGAAAGCCGAGGTTTTCACAGCAGAGGCTGAGGAGGAGGAAGGGGCTTCGGCCAGCCCGAGGGCGCAAGCTCAGAGTCCGCTCTTCACCGGTGAGCGCTGGGCCCTTCCTTTCCCCAGCCCCTCCCGGGCCAAACTCTGGACATTCATCCTGGATGCCGGGGCTTTCTTCGCGGCAGGCTGCACCCCCTTTAAACCCTGTCCCTCCCCGCCCAGCACCCCAACCCCACTCAGCTCACCCCAGAGCCCCCAGAGCGCCCTTCTCTCAACCCCTGAGGAAGCCTTCAGACCCAGGGAGTCAGGTCTGAGTGGCTGGTGAGTACCTGACAGCCCCCTCCGGTGGGCCCCAGCACAGCCCACTCATAGGCTGACCCCTGGACTGAGGAAGAGGATGCGGAAGGCACGGAGCAATGGCAGAGGCGGGGCTGAACGGTGGCTGCTGAACCTCACCATGTGAGCGTGTTCCGCCTGGTGAGTCACATGCTGGGGGCTGTCCAGCGGGTTGTCCAGAGTGTGACAAACACGGTACGACAGAGATGTTTCTCTAGTACACAACAGAGTAAGCGCAAAACAAGCCATGCGGCCCCGGCCAGTGTGGCTCAGTTGGTAGGGCGTTGTCCTGAGCGCTGAAAGGCTGTCGGTGGTTCGGTCCCCTAGGCACATGCTTGGGGCTGCGGACTTGATCCCTGGCAGGGGGTGTGCAGGAGGTGGGCGATGGATGCTTTGCTCTTGCATCCATGTTTCTCTCCTTCTCTCTAAAAATAAAAATATTTTAAAAAAAATCCTCGATATAACGAGCGATGCAAACCTATGATTTAATAAAACGTGTCCCAATTATATAATGCAATATTAACTTGGGACAAACACCAAGATATATTAAGTTAAAAAAAAAAAAGCAAGCTTCAGAGCAGTATGCTATATGCTACTTTTTGGGAAATAAATAAATAAATAAGGCTTGGGGTATAAATATCTACTTATTTAAGGGCACATAAGAAAGATATTTTAGCCAAAACTGGTTTGGCTCAGGGGACTGAAAGGTCCCAGGTTCGATTCCAGTCAAGGGCATGTACCTTGGTTGCGGGCCACATTCCCAGTGGGGGGTGTGCAGGAGGCAGCTGATTGATGTTTCTCTCTCATCAATGTGTTTCTAACTCTCTATCCCTCTCCTTTCTTCTCTGTAAAAAAAATCAATTTTATATATCGATATATATATTTTAGGGGATCTGAGTAGCAGAGGCAGCTTTGGCACATTTTTGAACTTTTTACAAGCCCTGAAGTTTCATATGACTTAGAACAAAGCAAATGAAGTGAAAAATGACACAGATGAGATGTGTCCTGGTAAAAATCACGCCGGTAGCACATGAATACATGAGGCTGCGGCCGGGGCCCTGTGAGAAGTAGTGCTGTTATCACAGGCCCTGTTCTCAGTCTGGCTGGCATCTTCCAGGGGCCTCTCTGGGTCTCTTTAGTCACCCCCGGGACCCCGACCAGCAGCTGTCGCCTCTGGCGGCTGCTAGGAATCAAGGACTGTGCTATTTGGCAGGTCAAGGTCAAACTCTGCTATAGAAAACCTGCCTGTCCACGCCCTGGGTTATAAGCACATCCACCCAGGCAGGCTGCTGCGTGAGGACCCACAGAAACGCTCGGGGATCCGTGCTGACATCACGGAAGAGGCTTCTGGTCCGGTGCGCAGGCCAGTGCGGTCTGAGCTTCAACCAGCCGGTGGGAGAGGGCACTGTGGGGGTCCTGGGCAGAGAGACTTCTGGTTTTGCCTGGGGTCCATCAAAGATGGGTTCTGCGGAGGGGACACCGGAGTTGGGCCGTGAAGGGCTCCATGCAGGGAGTCTGCCAAGCGGGGAAGGTGGTGGCAAGACTGCATTCCAGGTAACGGAACAGCATGTGCGAGGGGAAAAGGAGGCCCCATAGGGGGCCCCTGATGAAACAGGAGGTGCTCAGCGTGGCTGGATGCGAGGTGCCCATGCTCTCTGGTAGGCACCAACCACACAGTTACACTCCTTCCCCCTGCGCCCACCAGACCCAGCTTGGCCGCTGCTGGCCTTAGGGTCAGGAGGCCCAGGCTGAAGGGCAGGGAGCTGCTTCCCTCACCGTGGACTTGGGATCTGTGGTGGCCCTGGCTCTGGTTTCTTCACATAGGAAATGGGGACGAGAGTTCCTTCCCTGCAGGATTGCTGTCAAGGTCTGAATCAGTGCCCATCATAGAGCTCGCAGGGTTCACTAGACAAGTGTTTTCTGAATCAGGGGAGGAGGGGAAGCCACCCTCGGCCGGGCGGCCATAGCACCGTCCGCTCCCACCATCCCTGTGGCTGGAACTGAAGCATGGTGACGGAATCCATTTATTCAACATGTATTTATTTATATTTTGGGGGGTCAAGCTAACGGACAAGTTGGTGGTGCCTTAGGAAAGGGGTGCAAACCCCACGGCCTGCAGTTTTCTTAGGAAGCCTTTTCTAGGGGTGCATAGTCATGTGGAGCCCAGGCCCTGAGGCCCCCCTGGGGATGGGACTGCCTCTACAACACCCACACTCCTCCGGGCCTTTCCCTTGCCGTGTCTGCTACAGTCCCCCGCTTTTGCTCCAAGTAGCTGGGAACACTCACCTGCTGTTTACCCACCAGACTGGGAACTCAGTAAGCAGGGCCTAGAGTGCCCGGGGTAGGACACAGCACAGGGACTTTGTAAAAGACCCACCGCTTCTGAATTTAACTTTTGGACAAAACTGGCTCTGTGTGTATCTGCTCTGCCAGGACGGTATTCACTCTCACGGACTAACTTGGCCATTTGTCAGTCCTCCGATGAGCACTGAAAGCTCCGCTCTGAGAGGCGGAAACAGGCCAACAGGAACGGCCTACCCCCACCCACCGGGCTGGAGAGGAAAGACCACCGAGCCCAGTTTACCCCCGACACCCGTCGGGTGCCCCAGACACTCCAGGTCAGCAACGGCTCAGGCCCAAGGTCCCACACCGAGAGGGACAGCACACCCCCAAACATCGTCCCCTCTGTACTAAGTCTGGGGGTCCGGAGCCTCGCCGAGAGCTCCCCCTCCCCCAGAAGCCAGCGGTGAGGTGTCAGCAACTGGGACCTCTCCTCCCACACACCGAGATGCTGCTGCTGGCTCTGGCCGGGTAGCGTTGCGAGCAGCATAGCCTTTTGACTTGCTGCGTGCCCTTCCTCGGACTTGGCCTTCAGCAGAACCTCGGTGGATCCTGGCAGAGGGAGGGCAGGTGGCTACTGCCATTTGGAGTCAGGATGTGGCTCCCATGGCTTCCCCAGGCGCAGGGGAGCAGGGGACACAGACTTTGTAACTGGTTGGCCCCCAGCTCTAAAGAGATGGGGACTGAGGGAGTGGGAGCTTACTGGGTCCATGGCAGCCCCCTTTGTACTTATTTCCTGTACATTTCTTTTTAAAGATTTCACGTG